TTCAATTCCATAGAGGAAATTCGTCGAGTATAGAGCAAACGAGCATGAAACTAGAAAACTAGGCAACACTGGACAGGTTTTTCGATCTGACTGGATTCGATCCCCAGTTGGACCGATGGATTCGCACTGCTGATAATACCCAACCAGGTCAAAACAGCTTTTCAGTGCTTCCTAGCTTTCCATTTCACGCTTCATTTTCCCTATACACGACGAATTCCCTCCATGATATATATGTATATATAATCAATTTTACTCAAACGCATCATCACAATAACTGTAAGTCTGTTAGCATCATAAGCTTGATTAATTGCACCAATTTTCAGAGAACTCTGATGCTGAGCATTTGAGAGCGTAGCCATGTTGATGGTAGGATGATAACCACCAGCAACAACCTGTCTGCCTGTGTATTTTAGTTCGAACAGATTAAACAGATGCACAAATGCACCGTCGAAAAGTTGCTTTTAGTTGGGTAGTATAATATTGTTTCCTTGTGAAACATGATGCGAAACCATTTTAGTTTTGATATACGGAGTAACTAGATTGTTTTCTTTGCAATGCGGATATGACCGAGGAGTAGCGTTTGTATTTCAATACGGGTCTTGGTGATTTTCCGATTCATTCCACAAATAAATAAACACAAACCTTTTCCCGAAGTTACAATTTTTCTGATTGGTTCATCATTATTTTATATTCGTGCTTTGCTTTGTTCACACCTGGATTTAGACCCTACTTATTTACAGCCATTTGTGATGTCGTTCCATTTTGTTTGTCATAGCAATTCTTTTCTCAGCATCCATAGGCTTGCTACTAGCAGTCAATCTGTTCCGACTACATTTCACTTGCAGCCCACGCTGAAAATTGTCGATCCGATATGCACGTTCTTATTTTCCGTTCTCGTCCTGATCACCACGATCAACATTCTACGAGATACACTGAACGTGTTGATGGAAGCGACCCCAAGGGGTTTGGAATTCAATGAGGTGAAGAACGCGCTAAACGATATACCCGGGGTTATCGAGTTGCACAATTTACGCATGTGGAGTTTGACCATGAACAAAACCGCAGTCTCAGTTCACCTGGCAATAGGTAAGAAAAAACGTTGAAGCTAATTTGAATTTAACTCACAATTACTTGTGAGTAGTGTTCTGGGATAATTGTTATTGATTGATGAGAACTGACCATCCTTCAGACGTCACCTTCAGTGGTAACGCACACACGTTTCATGCGACGGGTCCGGAGTTCAAATCCCGGACGGGACGGTGGATATGCACTACTGATGAGTTCTAATAAGAGCGAAACTCGAGTCTAGTGCCTCCGAGTGTACGGTTCATTGGAAGAGCTGAGTAATGTGCGTGAAGATGAAGTCTGAGGAATGGTCAGTTCTAATCAATCAATGAAACTAATTTGTTTGATGAAGACAGTTAGGCTCTACAGTCACCGATTACTTACGTATTTTGTTTGAACAAAATACCAATTTTGTGCGAAGCAAACGTCTCCATGTGTTTGTTTTCAGAGACTCATAGAATCCATGGTGGTGGTGGTCCAGTCGCTCTCACCGGCATGTTTTGGACCTTATTGTCCAAGGTTCTAGCTCCGCCACCGCCACCTGACTTTGGTGTTAGGTAGCTCTGCTGCTGTCCGGTTCAATACCACGCCTAACCTATCGGGGCCTTATGTGGTTTGCCACTCCAAATCCCGGGTCTTAGGTTGTCTGTTTCTACCACTAAACAGCAGGTCCTCGTGACTATAGGCTTAGCCCCATCTGCTGTTCATCACACTTAGGTGTGTAATACAAAAAGACAGCATGGTCTTGGGGCATTTTCTGGATGGAAATCACTTTTCATAAACTTCAAGGGATACGTCACTGGAGAAGAGACCCATATACAATTTCTATAATAATACACATCACGAACTCATCGAAAATCCGCCTTATCAGAAAAATACACTAACTCGTTTTGGGTACTTCGTTCTGTGGCTAATACATCGAATTTTATACAATAATGTTTTGTGGAACAAAAGAAACCATACCATTGATTCCGGTCACGTTAAATTTTGCTCTTCCTGTTTGGTTCGCAACCGTTAATCTAAGNTAATCTAAGAGGATTAATAGTCCTATATCTGTCAGGGTGGGTGCAATGGAAACTGTTCACATACTTCCCTCCTTTGGCTTTTTAAAACAGTCTCAAAGATCATTCAGTTTCCTTCGGTGTTCCCAACATCTATCACATGTAATTCCATTCTCCTCTAATTCGAGACCCTAACCAATGCACACATGCCGCGGCCAAGTCTTGAGCAACATCCACAACTGAAATAGAACTCAGATGTGATTTACCCTTGGCCTATACGGGATATGCAACCAACCATGTGCAACTACACACACAAACATCAAACAATCTAACTAGATTCCTTAATCTAATTCATTTGCCTATTTTGATAAAGTGATACGTATCCGACTAATGGGAATACACAAAAAGAGGAATTCCTCTCGCAGTATTTGGCTTGTGGTTGGCCTGCTAAAATGTGATTTTTCCCCACATCTCCACACCGCATTTTAATATAGATTTCGATTTAATACTATCTGGATTAAGCATCGAAAACAGACTTATTTGTTACTGTGTTCGATGTGTGATAATCATTTGTTCTCACTGCATGAAATCCAATTGATTTAGAGAAAGAGAATCGAATTTCAGACTTTTATCACACTCAACTTTTCTTGAGTTATTGTTTTGTTCTGTCCTACTCAACAAGGGAGCATGGAAAGGTCATATTTATGTAAAACTTGCTACAATTTAGAGTACGAAGTTTGGATTAGCCCATTCGATTGTTCAGATGCATCAAGCACTCTTGATGGTCTTGAGTGTGGATTTCACTCCTTGGGAGATTGTTGAATGTATTCAAACCTTAGTTTGATACTCTAAGTTGATTGAGCCATTTGCACAAGGCTATGACCGTCGAGGGTGTAGCTCAGGGATAAGGGTTTGAAGTCCCGACCCGACTGTTTGCAGTACGAGTCGTGACAGAGACACAAAAAGTGTACACTGCTGACGAGTCCCAAACAGGACGAAATAGCTGTCCAGTGCTCTTTGTTTGTTATCACAAACATTTCCATCACTTTCTACAGTTATTAAATGTAAATTAGATATCTTGTGCAGTTGTTGAACTACCGAATCATCAGGTGGTGAGTACGAATCTGATATTATGTGGACAGAACATAAAATCGAATGATGCGTGAAAATCATTTCGCCATCAAGGTCACATTCTTTTGACTGGTGGGTCACCGGTAGACGGCGTAATGCACAGTCACATTCACTGATTAGTTGCGTTAAATTGCCCTATAGTCATCGTTTGGAGTTTGAACTATCATTGAAAATGAGTATTTTAACTAATTTATCCAAAGAGTGAATGACATACAGCGATTAAAATCAGAATTAAAGTAATACGCTGAAATGAAACAGTGCATTGCTGTTTAAAGATGTGCTGTTATTCGATTGACTGAGTTTTTCTGATTACCAGAATATCAACAAGATTTAGAAACACAGATATGAGAAGTTATAGTTACGATGTGCATAGTCGTTTTGAAGTAAAATATTTTAAAAATAGAAGATACAGAACAGGTTAAACATATCCCTGATGCGTATCATTGATAGACACTTCATCAAAAGATCGAGGTAACATCAACAAGTGGATTATGAGTTCATCCGTGGAATCAAATTTTATTCCAAGTAAAAGTAGTGTATATCTGAAAGTTGTTCAAAACTAAAATATTACTTTAGAAGTTCCCGCAAGCAGTTCTCTTCAACACTTTCATGAGAGCAAGAAGCATCATGATCACAGAATGCGTTGAATTCAACTATTTCGTGATAATCTCATCGGCTGTTTACATACCTTCAGAACAATAGCCCAACATATACAGGATTGCGAGCAATGTGACAAATCTAGGGACATCTTTCGTATCTTGATCCATCAGAAAGGTAACCGTCTACTACGGTTTGCTGAAGCAAGTGCCATTCGACTTAACAAGACCAATTTATGTAAACAGATCGAACTCGTGGCTAGCCTCGCACTGCCCTGGTAGATGTCATTGTCTTTCTCCACCCTCCCTTCTCCCCACACCCTGCAGTGATTCCGTTCCCTGTCTCTATGCCCCCAATCCGGTACGAATTAGTGACATTCGGCGTTCATATTGAATGATTTCTCTTCCCCGTGTGTGTTCGTCTGTCCCCAAACCTGTCACTCTCTCAACCAAACGTGATATGAATGTATGTACACAGTTGATGAGATTAACACAAAATAGTTAATATCAACACATCCTGTGATCATAATGCTTCTTCTTGTTTTCATGTAAAATAGTACTGCTACGAAGCCTGATCAATTAAAAAAACTGAAGATAAAATTAGCTGGGCAATGGTGTCACGGATAGTTAATAACTAAAATATACAAAAACAAAATACTGTCACACAAACCATCGGGATTTTTTTGAATATGAACAGAATATCAAAATCGCATAATGAGAAAATCATCGGACCGATCAGTAAAATGATTTAGTTGTTTGAAATGACTTATTAATTTCAAAAGCTTGTTCTTTTTGGTCCACTGGTCATTGGCTATCTGAATTGCCCTTGAAATAAGTTTTGTTTTGTTTTCAGACCCTGAAGCCAACTCACAAGAGATCCTTCGCCAAGCAAGTTCAATGCTAAGGAAACGCTACTTGGTTCATGAAGTTACGATACAACTGGAACCGTACCTACAAGAAATGGCCGACTGTCAGCTTTGCCAAGAACCCATTCGTTAACGGGTTGTACGAATGCGACTTCTCATAATTTTGCATTTTTGGTGAAGTGACCTCCTAGAGCAGTCAGAACAGTAATAAAATCCGATTCTCTGTCTATCATCAGACTGAAGAAATATTTAACTTTTTCAAATGCACTTGTCTTCAAGATATTCATATATCAATAGTTTTCCTTTGACGGACCATCCTTCAGACTTCTATTGATTTTCACAACGGTAGTACACAAGTCTTCCGNTCCGATGAATCTACATTCTTGAGTGGTTGTTGGATACGTACCGCTGACGAATTTCAGTGAAAACGAAAATTGCGCTTGGAACCCGAGTGCATAACTTAGTGATCAAAGTGAGGTTTCTGGGTGAATGTGAGACCAGATTCAGAGGAAGGTAATTTTCTGGAACGATAATTAAATCTCTTAAAGAGACCATGTATAACAAGTGGCCTGACTTACACCCCTGAGAACCGCATGGCGCCTCAACTTTTTTCCGATCGGTAGTTCGTGGTCAACCGAACTGATTGCATTCGGGAAACTTCGATAACGGACTCCACTCTCATCCCTTTCCAGGTCTTTAGCTGTTGTATCTAAGACCCATAGTTGGTTATAATAGTGCGAATAGCCTGTAATACTCCGAATATCCGCAGATCAGGGATGGACACGGCACAGATAATCATTTGCCGAATTCTCCAAAAGCACAGAAGCAGGAAGGACACATTACAAAGGCCGGTTTAGTAAATGCCCTCATAACGATGATTGAATATTTCATTTTCTCAATCAAAGACGAAAAATCCGTAATCTTACCAATCCTAAATATGGGAGTGATCACATTTATCGCTCGTGCGAGATTAGGGAACAACTCATTGTGTCCTACTTCGAAATACGGGAGAACGAAATTTGATTCCCTTTAAAGCCGTTGATTGAAACTCACCAATGCCGGATACGATACATTCCGGACACTCTTTTGTGACTACTATTGATTAAATTTATTGGTAATAAACAAAAGAACATACATGGGGCCCCTTAGCGTCCAGTTTGAAAATTGTCTAACTGCAAGCATCAGACGCCGTTTTCTGTTGTGATTCAGCTAATTCTAAGCACTAATTTGAATGCGCCGGNCGGTACTGAATCCACCAAGGATCACCGCAGGAGATCCCTTTTTCTTGAAGGGGATAAAATGTTTACCCAGTTGTTGTAAATTGTTGTATGCAACATTGTGTGCTCAGTGTGAACATCGCCGATCATAATAGGCTGCTGTTTTGAGGAAGTTTTGGGTGCCTGATGAGATAAGGCTGTGAACACAGTAAATGTCTGTTCCACTCGGCCTGTGTGAGGCAAACTCAGTCTGCCGTGATCCGTTCTTCCTACCAAGCGTTTAGAACAACAATCTATCAATAGACGCTCAACCCTGGAGCATCATTCTTTATCCAAGGCGCATCATGATTTAGCCTTTTCCTATCAGAGCAAATCAACTGGAACAGGGTTCAGATCCAAGAGAGGTTTATGATGTTTTGCAATCTGCACGCGTTACATGGATTCATGGCAGATACATGGACCATTCTATATCGTTGATTTAACGTAATTCTACCCTCGACACAATAAAGAGACCCGAAAAATTACGCTACCACAATGAACTTTACTGTGGAACGTAATGAAAGTCTCATAACTCTCAACGTTATAAGATCGCCTCCAAAAGTCTTTACTTTTCCATCAGCGATCATCTTTCAGAATAGACGATAGATAACTGACTGTCTTTGGAAGGAATACTACTTAAAGGATGTCACGAAAGGGTACTCAGGAGATCTGTGCAGTAATGGCTGCTGCTTATCCTGGATGCATTTAAAATTATGCGCCTAGTGGTGGTTTTCTTCGGCAAACCGTGACTGTACAATCTGTAATTATAAATACAGTTCAGCTCAATGCTTTATCATGGTTATTACCGAATGTGGATACCTCCTTGTAGATTGTATTTATCAGCATCAAGAAATTAGAAGGTTGTGTGCACGATGACTTGCAACTTGGGTGATAAATTGAAGCTAAATCTTAAAGTCAACGTTTTATGATGGGAATAACCTACAAGCTCATGCTTTTCTCGTTTCATACAATTCCAAGTGTAAAAATGTCAAATGATATGGGCTTTTTCCGCTGCTGCACGCAGCTTCATTTATGTTTGAATGTAAGGTGTGCTTATGTTTCCTCAAGTTTCAGTTTGAAAGATTTAACACTTGGTGCACAGACGACGTGTGGTGGAAGAGGTCCAGAAAGAACACACTAACTGCAAATGACTGACGTCGGTATACCAATCGAAATTTTGAGACCACTAGTTTAAACGGATATCCTCTGAGATGACCGTTGGGGGATAATTTTAGTAGCGGGCAACACGGATGGTTTAGGTTTTGCATGATTTGGTATACCAAAATCATGTCTCCTCTGATGCACCGGTATTGATTAAGATATAACCCAACGACTCCAGTCTCTCTGCGTATGGACAGCAGTTTAACTCCTGAACCATTTTGATGGGCATCCTTTGTGGACGCTCCAGCATTTTGCAACCACGTGGATTCTATGGATTCCATGTCTGGGTAGCGTACTCCATGAGTGGGCCAATGTGCTGATAGAAGACGGGGAAAACCGCTGACTCAAACCGGCAAAAACACGCAACAGCAAACTGTTATTCTTCACAGCTGCGTTAGACACCCTGGCGCAGTTGAACGAGCAGCTTAAGTGTTCTTGAATGACGATGCCCAAATCCTTCTCACTTGAGACATGTGGCAGTTGTTCGTTTCCGAAGAAATGCGGAAATCGCCGTTTGTGTCGTAGAGATAGAACCTTACACTTGAGCACCTTGTATTCATTGTCATTCACATGAAACCAGAGGTGAGCTGCTTTCTGTTTTCTGGAGTGCCAGCGAGCCCGCTGGTTGCGTCACTGTATTCCAACTTCTGGCTTCATCTGCAAACAGTAATGATTTGGGTCTTCGGTAGGTTGTTTATGAGTGTTGAGAAAAGTCGCGGGCCAAGCACAAATCCTTGTGGAACCCCGTGGGTAACGTCCATAGGAATGGAAAGCGAATCAGAAACACGAACCAATACGGTCTGCTGTTGGAGAAATGCTTCGATCCAATCAAGCATGCCCATCATCTATCCACCTGGCTATGCCTCAAACTTCAGTTAGGCTTAAGTGTTCATCAGATTGCATTTCTTTGTGCACCACTTTGTAATGTCTGTGTTAGGAGAAACCTAACCTCCCCTGAGAATTCCATCTGTATCAATTTGGGATGGATTGGGACCAATCACCATCGTGGCAAAGGGACGGTGTTTTCTCGATGTTACTGGATCTGTGAGATCCAGAGTAACACAACCTGATTTATTCACTCTCTTTTTTGGAGCTCTCGCTATTTCCATTGCGGAAAAATTTAGAGTGTGCCCGACTCTATAAATATAGCATGGTTTTCCGTTAGTCAGCGCGCTTTTCTCTGACGCTTCCAGTAAACGCTTGTACTGATTGCAATTGGTCTTTTGAATCGAATCGTTGGGACAAGGTTCGGTGACAGACTGGTAGACAAAGCAGAATGTCTATCGGTGGGAACAGTTTCATTTCGATTCTGAATCTGGATCGTCATTTTGCATTTGTCATTTGGCAGCATTTTTATTACACATTAAGGGGAAAATTCAAACGTCAAAAAAGTACTGTAAAATCAAGGATTAGGGAAAATTTACGATAGTTCCAGTTTATTGATACAGCGTTCGAAAACTGAAAGATTGTGTCTGGATAAGTAGGCAGAGGATATGAGAGTTCCACAAATTGTGGATTCCGGAAAAAGAAGACTAAAGTAGGGAAGGATGATAGCTGGTGACCAAACTCTGGTTGGGGGGACTAGCTGCCTGTGTGCAAGGAACAGAGGAGGTAAGCTCCGAGGAGCAAAACCCGAAGTGGCAACGGTAGAGAAGGGAACTATGGAGATAGAACCCTAACAACTCGGATGGAGACGGTTTGCCTATTGAGGCAACTTGATACCCACGACGCGAAGGAACCCGATCGTGGACATCACCAGTAGATCCACGTACCAAACTTAGTCGAAGGCTTTTGAGGTACCGAGTGGAACCAAATATGTAACTTTGTGTTTATCGAGTGCTGCCTATCAGGATTGTGAGGCAAAAACCAGCTGGATACCCGTAGAACCGCATACTGGCGGTTGCTCAGTGGTCCTTCCGGCTCGATGAAAGCACGCAGTTAATCGGAGATGATGGTTTCAAATACTGCTAGAGGGAATAATGTGAGGGAAATAAATCGTTTATTGACAAAATATTGAAAATTTGTTTATCGGGTGGACTGAATTCCATTTCGCCTGTTCGCCGAGCTTGGCAATTTGTTTGCAAACGTTTCATCACCAGCCGAGGTGACATCATCAGTACTTGTGAAGCGGCAGTGTTCTGTCTGTATCCGTTCGTTTATATATGTATTCTTCCCCACCGACTGTTTTTTGTCCCTTGTTCTCACTCTGTTCGACACGGTTCGTTTAGTATCTGGGTCAGCAATGTCACCACGATTGCGAACAGAATAAATCACAACGTACTTCAAAGGGGTGGTCAAAATAGAAAATTGGACGGAACAACAAAAACGCTTAAGTAAAACGATAGCCAACTCGTGAACGCACATTTTGAAAACTATGAGTGATACACCGTTCGCAGCGAGAGAGAGAGAGCAGCGCATGGTGGATCTCTGTAGTACTAGCATGAGATAGGAAAGTGATGTGAGTGGAATAAGAAGAAGCTGGTGGAGTAGGAGTTGGTGCCCACATGGGAGAAAAAACCCCAACCTTTTCGTGTTGCTCATATACGAGATCACCCGAGGAATTACAGATGGGGAGGAGCTGGCGGTTCAAAACTTGTAGGGAGCTACTTTGCAATGGATTCAAACTTTTGGCTACAGGTGACGAATGCGATGAAGTGTTCGGCTTTGCAGCGGATGTCTTTCTTTGGTTCTCAATATCGTTGCAAAGCCTCTGTTC